ACATGGAGATGAAGAAGAAGAAAAAGAAAAAGTGTTGCTCAAATAATTGAGAAGTTGACCTTTATAAAGTGACCAAAGGGTATTTAGGTAGTTTCCCACAATTGGATGGCTAAGATTAAGTCAATAGTAATCTCATCTAATAGCTAAAAATATTCTCCAATTAAATTCCTTCAAAATATTATTGTTCTCCACAAAATTCTCAAATTTACCCCATAAAAATAATTCCTCAAATTTCCTTAATTAATATAATACCATAATGCACTATTTACTAATTATCTAAATTCTCCAAAAATACTCATTACTTGCTTTCTATCCATAAAAATTATGTTTACATACGCCAAAAATATTAAATAAAATATAAAATATAGATAGTAATTTTTTCAGGCTAAAATAATACCGATTTCCGGACCGGTAGTACTATTCACAGACCGGTAGTACTATTCATAGACTGGTAAATCACTATCCATCCATAGTTAATTGTACTTAATATCTTCCTCGGTTCTAAATAAAATATTATCCCCCTCTCTGCAGCACCATTCATCACCCGATCAAATAATACGATTTTAAGATTCGAAAATTTTGGGGCGTTACAAGAAAACATATCAACACCTAGATCTAACTTTTGTTCCACTAGATTTCAAAAGGTTCTAGTCAACTTCTACCCTTTTTTTTTTACAGAGAACATAAAACTCACATCAGGGCATTAAATCTCACACAAAGAGAAGTTGCCTGATAACCTTTCACACCATAGCTTTTCACCTAAGCTATTACATAAATATTTTTCGTTTAAAAGCCTCTAGTCTACACCAGATTACAACAATCTAAATAGATAAAGAGAAATTCAATTATAAGCACAGGAGCAACAGAAAACATATTTTTGAAACAGAAAGAAAACACAAAACTGTTCTTCAGAAAAAGTTGTTACTAGATTTCTTTTCTCCTAAAAAAAATATCTCTTGAAGAAAATAGATGAAAAGAAATAAAAGGGGTTCAAGAGAGAGCTTTGAGAAATCTAAAACTTTGGACAATGAACTCTTACTCTTACCAACTCTATTTTTGAAAGAAAGAAAAACGTTTTTATAAGACAGATGAAAATCCTATTATAAAAGATGTTGAATCTTTGCTTTAATGAGTATCTTTGACATTCCAAAAATAAAAAGATAGTGCACAGGAAATACTCATTAGTTGCAAAAAATTATTTTTGCCAAAATTTTTTCTATTTAGATAAGCATAATAAAAAGAATGATTAGGGCTTTTCTTTTTAAGGCAATTTTCGAAAATATCTCAAAAATGATTTTGAAGAGAGAAAAAATATTTTGTACTTATAAAGGAATTTTCACTCTATCCTACATTAATTTCCTAAGACTTATTATAATACTAACCAAACAAAATATGTTCAATAATCTTCAAGGTCTTCAATGAATCTTGGATTGTAGGAGTTTGAATCTTTTAGCAACTTAAAAATTTACATAAAATAACTTTAGCACATATAAAAATATTAAATTTATTTTGTTTTATTAATCATCAAAATCTTAGGATAAAATTGACCATGAGCAAAAAGTTAACTTTTGTGCACAAATCTAAGGATGCATAATTGAGTTTTCAAATTTTGAATTTTTATTCTGTAATAAAATCTCTTAATATCCCATTTATTTAGCAGCAATATAGCAAATTCCTCCATTTTTTTAGAAAGACAACGCATTATTGCGTTATTCAACCAGAAAACATTATTAAATGTAATTTTACATTTTAGAGGAAGAGTCGATGTGATACTAGGGATATATTAGGAAAAAAAAATAATTAGTTAAACTTATTTCTTAATATTGGTGAAAATATGGTTGTGCCTATATAAAAAGATCGAATGGGTATTAAAACTTGTAATTAATTCTATTTTTGTTTGTGCATTTTTTATGATTTTCAGAAGTTATTCAAGACGCTAATCTTTCTCAAATACTCTTTCATAGGGCAAATTTGGACAGTTGAAGCTTTTTTTTTTTTTTTTTTACTTTTCCTCAAATTGTAATGATGTTAATTCTATTTTTGTTTTCGGTTGCATTTTTTTATGACTTTCCACTCAGAAGTTATTCAAAACTCGCTAGAATCCTCTCTTTTATATCACTTTTTCTTCTAATTAACAAATATTAATAAATTTCCTTCTTTTTCATAGGGCAAATTTTGGAACGTTGAATGCTTTTTTATTTTTTTTTTATAATTTTTTTTTTTAATATACTCACCTTTTGTAATTACATTTTACTGTAACATGTGCCTATAGTTTTTATGCCCTAATTATAAACATAGAAAGAGACTCTTTCTATTTCTTAATGATTTATATATTGTCGATATTTAATTTCTATATGTTAAATCCTCCATATATATTGCGTCTTAATCATTAACCTGTGTATCGGGATGTATAATATTCACAAACTCTTTTGACTTTTTTTGTCTAACAAAGTTAGTTGTATCTATTTTAATATTTTCACAGTCATGCCTTTAATTATGCATTGAATATTTTATTTTTAATTACAAAAATATTTCCAGTTAATTCTTATATGCATTCTTCTGAATATCTAAAAGGTTTATGTAATAATAAAGAGTATTTAATATTGTGATAAGAAAAAATCGTTATTATTGATATAAGTTGTTAAAAAGAGGTTTTTAAATACAAATACTCCATATTAAACGTCTAAACTTTTAAGCATTTATATAAAACTACTTAAAAACAGCTATAAGAGAAACTTAGGATAACGGTATTTAAAAACAGTTCTAACATTTTTGTTCTAGGAAGCATAAACTTTTAATATTGAGCTCTGTTAAGAAAGGGTGTTGGTTTTGGGATGATTTTGCATTAATTTTAAGAGTATTTTCGGTGGTGTTTTTATTTTTAAGATAAACTAATAATTAAGACTATGTTTACAATTTAAGTAAAGTAAAGGGAAACACAATTTATGGGACAGTTCGAGAAGAATGTATTAGTGATTTTAATTGACTTTTCTTTTATTTCGGCTTTATTTATGATAATACTGAATTTTAACCTATAAAAAAATTTGAGTTTATTCACCTTTTGTTTATTATTGTAATTATAATTAAGATAGAAAAAATTTATTTAATATTATTAAATATAAAATTTTTTCTGTTTTTATAAGTAGAAGGATTAAAAAAAGTGAGAGATCAAATATAAAACATCACAAAATTAAATGGTGAATTAAAATTTATATGTGTTCGTTCTAGATCTTAGAGTAACTTTACCCATTAATCGTTTTTGTCCCTGATTTAACTAAACTTCAGATTATCAATCAATCATTAAAATCGGGGAGGACTTCTTTCTTTCACGAAAAAAAAGAAAATAAGGGGAAAATGAGAGATAGATCTATTTTATACATTACATATTGAAATTAAACTGAGATTCTAATTTTAATTCTCAGAAATTTTTTAAAAACAGGGGAACTGAAAAAATTAAATCGTTTTATTATATTAAGCACTCGTATTACACAACCGAGCCTATGCACCACCCCTTCAAAGAACCACTTAGATTAATTATTTCTATTGCTTTTTTTTTTTTTTTTTTCACTTTTCCTCATGTTAGTATCATTATATAGAAAGAGACTCTTTTATTTCTTAATGATTTATTGTTATTTTATGTTAATCCATATTCTTTAACTTAACCTGTGTTCGGCAACAGTTTTTTAAGTAGTTTTTATTCAAGATGCTAAACGTTATTTTTTACAGTGTTCAGTAATATAGCATTTGAACTAGTTTTTAGAGGTTAATATAACGTTTTATAAAAAGTTAATCCATTTAACGTCTAACTTTTAGCATTTATATAAAACTACTTAAACAGCTAATAGCTGAACGGTATTAAAACAGCTAATTTTACTGAACATAACTTTAATATTGAGCTCTTTAGAAAGGGTGTTGGTTTGGGATAGATTTTGGCATTAATTTTAAGTTTTTCGTGGTGTTTTATTTTTAATAATATTACTATGTTTCAAATAGTTTAGAATAAATTTGGACAGTTGAAGAAGTATTAGTGATTTTAATTGACTTTTTTTTTTTCGCTTTATGTTGATATGTATGAATTTTACTATATATTGTTCCTTGTTATGATTATGAGATAAATTTAATATATATTTTCTTTTGGATAAAAATACACAAATTTTTAATATGTCGATCTAATCCATTCCGTTTTGTCCCATTCAATCAGATTCTCATCTTATTCGGTCTCATTCCGAATAAAAGATGGAATGAGATGGATCTATACATATATTGAAATGAGACTGAGATTCTAATTTTTATGTCTCAGAAATTTTTAAAACGGGACTGAAAATTATGTAATTTCCCCGTCTCGGCCTATGCACACCCCTAAAGCCAACTAGATTTCTGAAGTCTTTTCATCGGTATTTTTGGAACTAGATTAGATTCAACAGTCAAGCGCGTTAAATCGCGAACGAGTTGATGGTCTGATTCAATTTGACAGAAAAAAAATAATAATAATAAATGGATAGGGACAAAAATAGGATTTAAAATCAAGTGCATCAAACTTCTAAACACCGAAACTAGTAAAGTATATAGAGGGCAACGTTTTATAGGTTTTGAGTTTTGTAAGTAATTCTTTTTATGAATTCTTTATTTTGTTTCAAGGACTTGATATTTTTAATCTTAATTTTTTTTTTATCATAGAATACATGGGTTTTAATAAATATAATTTTTTTAATACTTTGATTACTATTTTTCCTATACTGCTGCCCAGTGTATACATTCCATATTCTAGTGGTGGATCTATGTTATAGAAAGCGGGTCAATTAACCTCTGTTTTTTTCTTAATTTTCTTTTGATACAAATATATTTTTTCAATTGACTCATCTTCAATCTCTTTATTACAGTTTATTAGATAAGTTTTTCCTGGAGCCGCAACTCCCACATTAAATATGAGAGCAGGACTGTCAATAGATAACTAAATTACTATGGTAAACTACTGAAGTTGGAATTGGTAATTGAAGTGCAACTAATTAATGCAAACTATGATCATCTAATTATCAATTACTATTCACATTGGGGTTCTTACTGCAGAGTAAAAACTGTAAAGATATTCTTCAGCCAAAACTCCACTCTCTTACTAGCTCCTACTTAATTTGAAACGAAAAAAAAAAAATCCAAATAAATCAAATTACAGCAAGTCTCTCAGAGTAGTTTTGATAACAGCAGCTGGCTTTCCCTACATAAACACCAGAATAAATAAATAATTAATTAGGACTATGCAGTAAAAGAAGTAGAGAATATTTTATTTGTCAAAAAATAAAAAGTTAACCTTTTTCTTGTAAAAAACTTTCTTCATTGTTTGATGAATTTAAATTTCATAAGTTTATCAACTTTTTTCATTTGATTATGAAAAGTAGGCAGAATCAATGAGATTAATAAAATTTCCCATAGAACCAATCAAAAAAAAGAAAGGTATTTATAATTTTGCAAAAGTAACATATACATAGTGCATAGAAAATTATTTATATTTTTATCCTATATCTTTTTAGATAAGGGATGATAATGGGACATTTGATATTATGATAAGGTTTGAATTTTTAGAAATTTTATAATTGGAAGAATTTTTGGGGTCTTGAATCAAAAGAAAAAAAATTTTAGAAAAAAAAAAACAGTTCTGAAAAAATAAATAACCAAAAACAAAAACTAATTCATATTTTTAATAAACAAAAAACTAAAAACAAATAACTATACCAACCTAGGCTTAATAATCACCTGGTCAATGTTTTCCATGCGCGAAGATGAGAGAGAATGATGAAGCAAGTGACCACTTTCATCGTAAAGAATAAGTCCACTAAACCTTGGAAGTTCACATTTCTCCCCCATAAGTATTGGCCTCTGCCATACCGGTGAAGCTGAGTTATGGCTTTGCCATCCCAAACTAGATGGTGACTCATCCTCTTCAAACCCAAGAAGTGGTGACCGCCGCCGTCTTGACTTCCCACCACTTGCCTCCCCCCATTTGTTTGCTTCACTCCACCTCACCCACCCTATCAACAACCTCCTTATTCTCACCCACTTACTAGAGTTAAAGGAGCTATGATCTGAACCAGCTGGATCAACTGTTTGCTTGCTTTGAGCTTTCCTTTTTAGCACGGTGACTGTACATAGGCCAATAACAGCAAAGGCAGTGAATGCAATTAGAATGAGTTCTGCTTGTTGGGTTGTTAGCTTCCATTTGTCTTCTAAATTCCACAAGGCTTCCATGCTACTATTTTTAGTGGAAGAGCGATGATATTAGTATGTTAATTATACTGTCTAGCTAGATTTTCGATATATATGTATATATATGCATGATAATGGTTCACGGGGGATCCACCGCCGGCTACGGTTGCTCTTCCCTGTAGGGCTGGGGTTTTCTTGTGTTCTAGCCGTTGGGAGTATCTCACCGACTCAAGCTAATAAAGGCATCTCACGAGGAAGTGAATGTTGCCATAAAATCTCTGAACAATGATATATAATAAAATAAGGCCTAATTAATGTATTGACTTACCCATTCACTCCTATATGCAGTATACCTAAAACTAACATCGTTTTTAGCATAAATTTTGAATAAAAAGACTAATTTAATCTACTTTTTTTTTTTTTTTAAATTAAATGAGTACTTTAAGAATATCATTTAATCAAAAGGATTAACGCTCAATCTGTCCCCTAAACTTGGACATAATATACAATTTGCATAAAAATTAACATTTTATATAATTTGCCCTTTGAACTTGTACCAAAAGTACAAAGTGTCCAATTCTTTAAGAAAAATATTTTTCTTAGAGTTTTAACTAATAAAAAATTACATAAAAATTTAAAATTAGAATATAAAAATATTTAAAGACATAATAATAATTATAAAAATTTATAGTATTTGATTTAAAAATAATTTAACAAATAAAATAATTTAACAAATATTTGATTTGAAAAAAAAAATTATAGAATTAGAAAAAGATTTGATTATATTGAAATATTTGGTTAGAAAACTATTTATTATTTATTATTTGATTATTTTTTTAATTATATCTGATTTACATCAAATATATAATTACTTCTTTAATCACATTTGATTTATATGAAATAATTTATTTTTTGGGATAAAAATTGTGTAGTTTGTACTTTTGGTACAAGTTTAAAGGGTAATTTATATAAAAAGTTAATTTTTGCACAAACTGTATATTGTATCCAATTTTAGAGAGCAAATTGAGCCTTATTTCTAGCCAAAACGGGCAACATTTTCAAGGGAAATTCGTAACTGACTAGGGTTGACCATACACTTTGTGTAACACTCATCGCCTGATCCTGGAGGAATAGGCGGTGGATGACACATTCGGTGCCGAAGGCACCTTTCTAAGATACGAATTGAAATCTTATAAGCCAAAGATATGGGTAATTTTTTTAAAGAAATTGTTTTGAGTCTTACAAATCTAGCAAGTCCATGGTTTTACTTAAAAAATGATTCGGGAGATTCTATAGAAAAACTGTAAGAGTTTCCCTTAAAAATTGGACTTAATTAAAACCTGTGAAATAAAAAAATATCTCCAAATTAACCTTAACAATCCACCAACTCCAATATTCAACTTCACCAACTCCAATATTCAACTTCAATCAAGATATTCCAATATCAATTCATAATCATCCACAAGGATTATACAATAACCATACAACTTACTTAACTAAATTCATAATATGACTTACATATCATAAAGAATTCTAACTATAATATATATTCTTATTAATGCCTAAGTTAATATATAAATTCTTAATTGAATACTGTCTCCAATATTTAAGATTTACATGTCATGTCTAATACATAAATTGAAATACAATAAACTATATTCATTAAGGAGGTCTTTGGCTCTAAAGCTGGATTTGGACTCCAAAGCACTGTCGATTCTACAACTTGCGCATGATAAAAATTGACGTGCTGAGTATAAAACTCAATGATGCTCAATAATCTCAATGTTCGATGTTGCGATGGCAACATATAATCATACTCATAATCATACAAATTCAAGGTACTAATCATGCATAAACAGATATTTCACATGCAAGCATATTAAACAAGTTAGATCATAAGTTATCATACTTAAGTAGTATATCATCATTTAAAGCATGAATACATACTTATAAACTTAAAGCATCTGATATTAACTTTTAAAAACATTTAATACATAAATAGTCACAATCTAATCACTTATATCAATAACAAAACATATAAACTTATAAGTACATTAATTACATTGTCTTATCTTATTAAGTCACTTTCTTTGATTTTTAACTTATGGGGCTCACATATACTTAGTAGAATCAGAAGTAGATCGATTAGTAGAATTAGAGAGCTATAAAAGCCAAACAGAATCAGAGGCTAATAAGCCAAACAGAATCATAAGGCTATAAAGCCAACTAGAATTAGATAGAGCGCGTCTGCTCATATAGAGGGCACCCATTTACCAACCATATGATCGTAGCTATATCTAGATAATCAGAGTGGCATCATTATCCCAAGCATGCTCATAATAAGAAAAATCTTAATCAAGCATCTAATTCACACCAAGTATAAAAAGAGCCCAAAAATTTACTTTCTTTCTTTAAGTTATATGATTACTTGTAAACTTTATTTGTTCAGATAGTACATAGCTTTTACATATCAAGTAAGTCTTAAGTATATACATAGCTTTTAGCATATCAAGTAAGTTCTTAAGTATATATATATTATATATATAATATATATATAAAGGCCATGAAAAACTACAAGTTCTTATGAAAGGTACTTATAGGTTCATGTAACCTTAGCCATAGCCAATAGGTTTTGGAAAAATCTCATTAAAGCATATCATTAAACACTCATGAATGCTTATAAAATGTAATTATATATTAACCAACTATTACATATTAGAATCCATGCTTAAGGACACATGGAAACTCTCCAAAAATCTCAAAGTGAACTAGAAAATCATATAACTTCCCATCACATATTCTATCAAATTAAGGTCCCATAATCATAAAAAATAAATCAATTATACTTCACTTAGTCAAAGTTACCTTTAGGCTTATATCTAAAAACTCAATTTTCATTGAAAAACAATTATTTGGAGAAATTTGTCTTTTCTCAAAAAAATCAAGAAGTTTGAAAATCATACTTCCAAAAACAAATTCAACTCTTTCAAGTGTGAAAAGTCTTAGTAATTCATCTCCAAACACTTTTTAAAACAACCCTCAATTCATAAATAGTTCTTTTAAAATTCTTCCAAAATTTATTTAATTACTCATAGGGAAAATACTCATTTCCAAAGAATTCATTAAAAAGCATTTCCCCAAAATTTAAATACTTCTATTAATATACTCCATCTTATATAAAATTACTTAACTCAAATTTAAGTAAAACCATAAAAACATATAGAACTTTCTTATTTTCAAATCGTAGGAAAAGTACATTATCATTGATGTGATTTTTATCATAAAAAGTTTCATAATCATAACATTCAACTCCATTCCAAAATCATTTATTATAATAAAGAAAAATTAGTTATACTTAAAAGCATGTATATTTTCATTCAATTTCCAAAAATCCCTTATGGACTTAAAGTTCATAAGGAAATTCACCATTTCTAAGAACTAGCAAAATGTATTCAAACCAACTGGCCACAACATACAAATAATTGTGAAACAAGGGAATACCATCATTTAAAAGCCATAATAATGCTCAAGATATAACTTTTTCTTAAATACAATAAGTATTACTATTATGCTAGATAAGTAAGTTTCTTGGCCTAATGTAATAAGTAACAAAAAATAAATACTCTCCATCTATATTTCATATATTTCTTGCAGTAATTTTATATCTAATTCATTGATTAAGGCTTGTGTTTATAAATTAGAACAAGATTTTGAAAGTTTTGATGAATTAAATGATCTAAATTTTAAGAAATTTACAACAATTTTAGTAGCCTTGACCTTTGCTTGTGTTTTTAGAAGCATATCTGAGTTATAAGTCTCCAAAATTGGTGAACATTTAAATTCATTAGGAAAAGCTAAGACAAAAATTATACAGATGTTTATGAAGGGACTACAATCCAGATCAATCTCTAAAATGTTAAAAAAAAGAAAGCTAAGGAACACAAACAACAAGCCCAGACTTGATTTCGCCACATCCAAGTCAAATGTTTATTTAATTCTACTTATTCCAAGCCACTCAAATTAAACAAATCCAAAATCGGATGAAGTTTTAAGAATATGGTGTAGCGGGCGGACTCTTACCTACAGCATTTTTGGGCGCCTCATGGAGCTGTTGAATGGCATACCGCTTATACGTTCAATCTACCATTCGCTGAGATGATTGATCACCGGCAGTAGATTTGCTTGCCTATTACAGGGCTTCCTTTCGGAAGGGATGGTATGTGATCTTCGATACCAAATTGAGGACCACTAAACCATTCAGGCCTACGGGTGATCTTCGCAGCTGCTATCAGAAGTGAAGCCCACCATCTCTGATAAATAAGGGTCCCGTTATAAGAGCAATCTATGCTTCATAACAGGAGAGCCCCCGGGACCAGGTGCAGAGCTGGACGTAGATGTGGTGAGCATGAGCCTACTTTTCTATCTACTGCCAAATACCTTATTCACTAACCATGGTAAGACATAGATTAGCACTGCTCGCACCTCTTCAAGACTTTTGGATCGACGAGGCCAGTTCAATTGGGGAGCTACTACCTTTGTCATTATCTTTTACTATGGCATGACCTTAATGCATCCGTGGGAGTGCGCTAAACGTGGCTAACTGGCGCATTATTAAGCTATTAAACCCACCTTATTTATGCTTCTTTTTCTGTTTCATTCCATGCTTTCTCTTATTTGCTGATTTTTGCTTTATTCTTATATAGATCTGGGCTGTGACAACCGTTGTCCTCCTCATGCTGAGTTATGTATGGCTTCGAGGGGCCAACGTTAATGGCGAAGATCTCTACCTCGAGGGCTGAGCATGGTGATTTAGTATAAGAGGTATTCTTCATACTACCTTGAAGGTGTCGATGCTTCGCAACTTTGAACAGCTCGAGGCTAGGACTGGGTAAGTCTCTTCCTTCTCACTAATTTATTTTTCTTTTTTTTTTTCTTTTTTTCTGATTTTTTTATTCTTCTTTTTCCTTTTCTTCTTCTCTTCTTTGTAATTTTGTAGTAGAATAGAGAGGAACCATAAGGAGATTGCAGCTGACTATCCGATTTCATCCAGATGCGCTTGTCTGTATTCAGTATAGACGGCTCCTACCTTCTGGGGTTATTCTACGACATGTACTAGCTTGGCAAGGTGCTACGAGCGGTGAGCTTAGGACCAATCCAGAGGAGACTTTCCTCATGAC